CAGGAGAAAGGCCAACGCACTTCAAAACAAAAAGAAGTTTCAACAGATTTGTACAAGCCCAGACATGTAAAGAAAACATATCGCAGCACGAAGAGCTATTTCTGTAAATTACCTACAAACACCTCTGACAATACCAAACTTGTACCCATCAAGAACTGATTCTTTAAACCCAACGTTTAAACCCTCCTCAAAACCAGCATCTTTCCCAGCAAAAATTCCATTTCGGTATCCTTCCTATATATATGGATTTAGCGGATAAGCCAGACATATAGAAATTTGATCACAAACTGGAAAAACAATCTTCACATAGAAGAAACTAAAGTAATACCGTGTAGAATTTCTCACGTCTCTTCTCTCGATCCCTGTCCATTTGACGAATTTCACTTAATTTATTATCCCAATTGTCATCAAAATCCTCAAGACTGTAATCATCAGCACCTACATGTAAAGATAAATTCTTGTTCAAGAAAAACACTATACACTATTGTCCATAGAATTCAGAAAAGCAAACATTATCAGATACGAGGCCAATCTAAGCTAGGAACAAGAGAAGAAACCAATAAGGTAAAGTTCCAAACCATTTTCTGAAAGCTCCAAGCTTTCTCCGATATTCTTCATATTCTGAAATCGTGGAAAAAAATCAATACTTTCGGTCAGGAATATCATCGAACACCTGGTGGGGATTTTCGATTACATAACATCAATCACGAAAGAAAAAAAAAACCCCCAAAATCAAACTAAAATTATGAAAAAACAATTACAATCTGTGTCATAAATAAAAAAAAAAACCTTACAAGCGATCGTCGAGACTCGAAAACTTCGGCAATGCAGCAGCAATGAATAAACCCTGATTTTCTAATTAAGAAAATAAAATAATACATTTTACTCTTGATCAACAACTAAACAGTTTAAATGGGTTGGGCCGTAAACATTTGTTCTAGGCCCATTAGTTGATTCTCTTCCGCTTAAGTCTTTCAAGTCCCCTCAAGAGAAATTACCGGAAAATTTATTCAAGTACTAACAGAGAAGATGCAGAAATCGTTCTCGTTGATCCAAACGGTGGCAATCTCCGGCGTATTCTCCGCCGTCTCTTGCTGGTGAGTGATTTTTTTCGCCGTCTCTCTAGCTCGTGTTCTTCATTTCTCCTCTTTCTATGTCTTCTATTTAGGGTTCTTACACTTGTGTCTTGCTCGTTCTCTAGGTATGGATTCATGTTCGGTAGAGAATCCGCGAGAAAAGAGCTCGGTGGTTTGATTGAAGAACTCCGCCGTGGAAGTCCCGAATCGGATTCGCCTCCTCCTCATTCGTGAGTTAGGTATTCCGATTTTCCCTGGCGATTTGATTCGAAGACGGAGATTCTTCGTTTTGTTGATTTTCGTTATCTGTTTGCTAAGTTAGGAGGACTACTGTGAATTTCGGATTTTCCAGAATGTTCATGATAGTTTCTTGCATTCTGGTTCTCAGCAATTATTGTATAAACGATGTGTTCTCAAATCCTTTGAGTTAATTCAAGTATGATTGTATGAATAATCACCACATTGCTTGATTATGAGAGAAATTCACATTGATTGAGATAAGATTGTTAGAGAAATATGTATATTACTTGAGATAGAGTTTGAAGATGTACAAGGAAAATTTAGGATACACAGTTCTAACTGCCTTTCTAATTGTACATCATCTTGTTTTTGCTTCTCTTTGCTCTGACTCAGAATTGTGCAAATCTAATGTTTTAACACTATACTGGTTTCGAGTCGTATAAACGTTGTCCTCTCAAATCCTTCGGTTGATTCATGTATGAATAATTTTCACCTTTTTATGAGAATTCAGTAAATGATAGATGAGAAATGCATATTGTTTGATTATGAGAGAAATTGACATTGACTGAGATAAGATTGTTAGAGAAATATGTATATTATTGAGATAGAGTTTGAAGATGTACAAGGAAAATTCTATAGGATACACAGTTCTAACTGCCTTTTCTAATTGTACATCATCTTGTTTTTGCTTCTCTTAGTTCTGACCCAGAATTTTGCAAATAATACTGGTTTGATCTTGTTTTGCTCTCTCTCTCATCTCTCTGTTTATTTATCATACAGCAAGATTATAAATGACACTGTACCTATGTGGGAAATTACACTAGTGAAGCCTCCTCAACATTCTCGGCGATCCTGCCTCTGACAAATCCGACGTAAAGGTCACTTCCGGTTGTGTCTTCGGCTGGGAGTCTCCTTCCATGGCCACCTTCCTTCATGTTCTTAACAAACTCCACTAACTGCTGCCAATTTTGACCCTCAAATAACCGCTTGTTCATTCTTAGGTAAGTAAATGCGGTTAACCCATTTCCAGAATCTGACCTATTTGTTGCAACCACTTGTCCGAATGCACTCGAGTCATATCTTTCTAGCGCGTTCTCCCCTGCTAGTTCCGTTCCAGCTTGCCTTGTCGCGTTCTGTACTTGCTTAACCAGACCTTCTGGTGAGCAATTCGCGTGCTCGGGTTGCTCTCCATCTTTCATCTCCATGCAGGTGAAGTTGAGGACAACACCATGTTTGTTGAACATCTTAGCTATTGGCAAATACCCATCGTGGTTTCTTGTGTTGTAATATCCAGCAGTTAGCTCAGCGGCGTGCGACCTGGTGTTGTAGTGCCAGTGAATTCCAGCTACTTTTCCTGAAAGCTTTGCTCCGCTTCCGTGAAAGATTCCGCTCGCTGAAGCTAGGAGTTTGTCTCCATGTTCTAGGAGCATCCCAGAATACCACTCCATGAAAAACTTTCCATACTCGCTATTCCATGTTCCGTCCCTCCGGAAAAACTCGGTATCTTCTGGGAGGTTCTTGTACTCGCCAGCATCATGAGGTCCACTTGTTCCCCAATTTGTTTTCCCGATTGATTCGGCATATGCTTGAAGTGATGATCTCATATACTGCAATCAAGAGGTATCATTTCTTAGAAGAATGTAGGGATAGTAAGTAAGCTTGAATCTATATTATCTCCTCTGGTATATTTCTAATCTATAATCTCCTGATGTTCTTATGAATTTGAGGTTTTTTTGCTTGTTAAAATACCTTGTCATAGCACTGGAACTCTCCAATTCCGGGAAATCTCCATGTCCCATTGCTCTCAGGGTAAGATGGGTATCTCAATTCTCCACAAGGTCCCATTCCCACTTGAATTTCCTGCATTACATGAAAAATGATGATACAATTAGCTTAGTTCAACCATATTGCTCATGTAGTTAGCTCTGTTTCCTTAAATAGAGTCTAGATTTCTGCTTACCGCAATAACTCCTCCTATGTAACCTTCGAATCTTTCACGGAAGCTCCTCATAAAATCTGAGTAGACCTGGATAGGTGTTCTTCCTCTTAGCACAGGCACAGAATCACATCCCAAGGAGATATATTCAGGATTCCTTCTCCCAGATTTGTCTGTGTAGACAAGATCAGGGTTCTTGCTGATTTCTTCAAGCACCCATGGTGGTAATGGAATACTAGATTTTAAGAAGAGAACAAAAATAAAATCATTAGCTAAAGCTAGAAATGAGAGTCTAAGATCTTATTCAAAGGGAAACTAGATTTGCTTTTATTACCTGCAAGAGTCTCCAACGTTTCCTCCACATTGATGGAAAGACATAACGACCTGGAGTTTGAGACCGTGCTTTTGAACCATATGTATAAGCTCGGCATAGCCTTCCCAGTTATACTTCATAGGTCCATCTTTCTCCACTAATCCCCACCAAGCATCCACCATTACACCTTCCACACCAGCTCCTTTTAGAGCCATTAAACTAGCATTCATGGCTCTTGGTTTGTTCAAGTGCCCTGACATCGTTACCGTGTCAAGCGGTAACATGACAAACACCGGGACGCTTGAGTCGTTCTTCGGGTGTGGGTATGAGAGAACGTGGAGTTTCTCAAATCTCTCCATGGTTTCACCTTCTGGTGTGAAGGTCTTCTCATGAGTGAACTTCATTTCCTTAACCGAGCTCTTTGCTTGGAATTGATAGGTTGGTGGCTTCATTTTCGCAAAGGACATGTGAGGAGAACTCTCATGGGTTCTTGAACTTTTCGTATCTTTACGTTTGATCATAGAACTCGAGGAATTTAGTGTCAACTCCATAGCCTTCTTCTCTCTTTGGTCTGTTGAGAAACGGTCTTTGGTGTTTAAGAGAAGATGCTGTTTGTTGTTTGAGAGAAGATTGTGTTTGTGTGTTTTGCATTTATAAAGAAAATTGATTGGCTGTGATTTAGGGACAAAACTTTAAAAAAAGGAGAGGAAAGATATCACAATGGTTGCTTAATTCTATTTTTTCACAACATCACACGGTTGTTACACAATCAAAGTGAAAAAGTGTAAATGTCACATCAGTTGTTACAAAGGAAGATATTTTTAGTTAGTACAGTTTTTCAATTTCATCTGTCAATTATTGTTCAGGTATAGGGTAAATTCAGTTTTTCTTGTTGGTAAATCCTTCATTTACTCACTCCTTCAGTTTTTAGTTACAGAGAAATTCTCAACACCTAAATTTGCTTTTTCTCTTGATAGTGTAGATAAGCTAATAATTTTGTCTACTCAGCTTTGCCTTTGAACACATGGTTCTTGTGGCTGAAAAGTCTATAGGTCTCTTGGTTTTAATTTGAATAAGATAGATAAGTGCAAGAAATTTCATTTTTCAAATATGAAATTATTTGTGGTAGCTATTAACTCTGCCTTTTTCTTCTTCTTGGACTTTCTTTCTGTAATATTTGCATTTTCCAGCTAAGCAGCAGATCCATTGAACCATAGATTTCTAACAAACCTAACAGTTTCTTTGAGATTTCTCCCACCATGGCTCCCTTGTTCATAGTAACACATTCTTTGTGAATATTTTATTTTTCATTCCCTTTGATCTTTTTGTTTTGTGTTGACTGGTTATGTTATTCAGCCAAGCTGGCTTTTTTAGAGCTTGTAACTCAAGAAAAAAAATTCTTTGGTCTGTCTGGATGTTTTGCATTCTGATTATATCTTCAATACCGAAACAACAGGACTTTGATGCATTAAGCCTATGTTTAGTTGTGTTTGATGTTCTTCACTGAAATTGATACTGTGTTAATAATGATGCAATTTAGCACATGTCAAAAGTTGATCAAGCAGTGTATGTAATTCTTAATACTTAAGGCTTTTCTATTGTAGCCATGTGAGTGTTTCAAGTGTTTTTTAATATGGAGAAAATGACTTTTAATGTATTAGAATCCATGTCGACTGCAAAATTTAGTGAGAATCTTTTTCTCTTTCTCTTTCTCTCTGACTCACTAAAATTGACAGTTTGGTCTTTATTCTGGTGACGTAGATTGCGGTTTTGGCTAATTCCTCATCAAGGCCAAGTAGTTTCTCTCGTTTCTAATTCCCACCATTAATTTTTGAATGGCAGGAATTGATCCTTATCGCTTTGGCACCTGGCTGGTGCGTTTTATTTAGAAGGTCAGGAAAATGTAGAAAGCGGGGACGACATTGGACATTGACTCAAACAGGTAACCCTCTATGAATCCTAATGCGATCGATACATACTCATTGTTTTATTTTTTTTCGCGGTTAGAAACAAATTTGGTTTATAATTTTCTTAAACCTCCTCATTCTCTTATCATTAATCCTCATGTGACTTCAAAGTCCATAGTAGTTGTGTCTTGCTAAGTATCTAGATATGTATGCTTTGTCTCAGAACTTTATGGTACACATTGTAGGAAAATCAAAACTTTAGATGTTGATTTGGCTTTTTAGGAAAAATCTATTTTCAAAGTTTTTTGGGGTAAACAAGTTAATACCTTTTTAGTTTTTTCTTGATTACTTATGTCCATGGAAAAACTTGAGCTTTATTATGAGCCGATGATGAAAAAAGTATAAAAAGCGTGTGGACGTATTCACACACGCATCAGCAAAAATCCAAAAATGGTGGTTGGTCCCTCAACGTTGATCATTTCCCTTTTTATGCGTTGATAGCTTTTTCCACGTAACCTACTTGGTACTTGCTTAACCCTCCCCTACTTATATTTTAACTATTTAGTTTCTGACTTTGATCTTTTACTGCTTAATCTAATTTGGTCGACATATGATTTAAGGCTTCTGAGTCTTGGCATTAGATTTTACCATAGGATAATCTGAAACCCAATTTCGGGGACTTCTTTTACTCTACATCTAATTGCTTGTTTCAACATCTAATTCGTAAACTTTGTGTCTTGTCATTGGTTAGAAATCGTGGGATCTCGATGTTAGATCGAGTTAAGGAATTTGATACAGTTGAAAATCATGTTAAACCCCGGAACCGAGCATTCACGGATGAGATGTGTAAATTTGTTGGGGATAAAGTTTGAATGATTCTATAACTGCGGCGAAGGCCAAACTACTTTGCATTATTTGCCCTGCTACTATAGTAGTGCTGTGAAGTTAATTTTTATAAATCAGACTGATTTGGTTTTGTGGTTAAGTCATATAGTCAAAAGAGTATCATTGTCTAAGGCTTAAGTTGAAATGTGAATCGAAAAGAACAGAGAACCTTTGCTTACCGGTTAAGGTTTATAGTTTGTCATTGTCACGAAGATATTTGTTTTTGCGATGTGATAAATGAGCATCCAATAGATATAATAAGTTCAAATAAATATCTCTTCGAATTGAAATTATTAGAAGATATTTTCTTTCGCATCTATTCTTATGTTGTATCATTTTCAGAAAGGACAAAACATATGATTCCACATAAATATCAAAGTAAATATCAAAGGAGAAGATATTATCAGTGTACATGTAGAGAGAAAAATCTCTGACAATAAATAATAATTCAACAGAGTACATTGCACAGATATTTTGTTCTTTTGTAGTTTTGTTCTTTTGTGTTCAGAGCCAATCAAGAGAAGTTTCAAGATTCTGCTATGGGGAAAGCTGAGCCGATACGGTTGTTGCCGAGGCGGTAACATTTGACATTGACATTGTATGGACCCAACTGAATGTGGTTTTCTTCTCTTCCCATGAAGAAACACATTGTGTAGAGTGCCAACTCAAACTCTGGACTTACTCCAACTAGTGTGCTTGAGACGGATTTTAGAACACCGTTCCACTCGAATTGGATCGTTAGCAGCTGAGTCTCTGAATCAGGCTGCATAGAATTAAAAGTGTTAGATATCGGCAAATCACCTGTCTCATAAGAGGAAATATTTTAGCATTGAGCAGAGTAATGGTATTTACAATTGCACCGCGACGTCGGGGAAATATGTAGCCTTGGTAATCTACATTTCCTTTGGCTTCTTGCAGGTAAAACTGCAACATAAATAACGCTGAGATTTTATTGGTTGAAAGATTTAATGTTTTTATTCAGAGGGCTTTCCAGGGATCTGGATTCATGGCGGCGAACAAGAAAAGACATTTTACCTGAAGCCAGTTATGGAAGCCAGAGACTTGTTCCCCTCCAGTTTGTTTGATCTCACCTACAAAGACATGCTCAAACGCAGAAGACGAACCACTACAACCTCCACGGCCATATAGATCGAACCAGAGACTTGTCAGCATTCTCTTAAACTCTTGGTAGCTTTCAGGAGCAATGTCCTTTAGCACAAGGTACTTGTGAAGGTACTTAATTGGAGCGGTTCTGCTAATTTCTTCGATGAAAGCCGCTTGCTCTTGCCTCTCTTCTTCTGTGACTACTTCTTTGTAACCTTCATTTGGGTTATAGTTATCAAGCAACGCACAAAACCTGCCGAAAGTCGGTCTTCTAAAGACGTCGTCGTTCACCCAGGAGAATAGTAATCCTTCAGCCATATCTGTTCTCTCATGAACCCTTTTCCCATCTCCGCAATCGATTTGATAATCGTTTCCAGGGACAAGGCGGTTTGAATCGAGCTCCCACAGTTTGTTGCAAGCTTCCGAGAGACCTGAAAGCTCTAGCTGTGAGGGTTCTAGTTCTCCGTGAGCTTCAACATCGTCCGAGAAGTGTTGCTCGCTTGTTGGGCGTTTATACTCTTGCCACTGCTCCTTCTGGACCTGCAGAGAAAGAGAGATAACACATATCAAACCAGTGCAAGCATGGGTAAAATCACTGGGTAGGGCTCAATCTCGGGTCCCAGTCTTGAACCTTATGCGTTTGCCTTGCAGGTTTCTTTTTCCCCACAGTTTCCCAGCCGTCATTGTCTCCTGCCTGATTCTCCTGTGCCTGGAATCAAATGCGAACATGAGATCCTAAAGATGCTAAATCAACATTAGCTAGGTTTGATTATTCATTTAAAGATTATCGTAAGTTTAATGTAAAGAGTAAATGAAGTTCTCTCTTACCGAGAAGCTTTGTTGCTCGGTTACTTTAGCCGCATAGGTATTCTCTTCCTGGTGCTCCTGCAAGGGAAAGTCGAAATGTCGATACCATAATCTTGTTTTACAAGGAAGAGAGCTTTGTTTTCTAGTGAACTTTGAATGAAATAAAGTAGCAATTGTCACTGAAACTCAAATGTTAAAAGTGTCTTAATCCCAAACCTTATGTGGACGCCTAGTGGACGTCCTTTCTTCCTTTTTCTCCCATTGATTCTCCTACCACGGGTTAAAAACCGCGACAATTAGAGATATGCATATCACGCAGCAAAAATAAGTGGTTTGCTATCTTCATCGACATTGTTCTAATTGTTTCAAACCCACAATTTCTACGTTTGCGTTTGGCTTATTTGCAAACAATAGACAATAAAATGTTATACAAGCAAACAATGGAGATCATAAGAGTAACGCAAAGCAGAATCAAAAAATACAATCTACATACAATTTCTTCTACTTTCTCTTCCAAAAGCTACTGAATCCAATTTAGATGATCATGTCAAAATAAGACAAGGAAAAGCTCCTACGGATCATGTGTTTTAGCCAAATCTATCCAAACTCAAGAGATTGCTAAATTCATAGAATCTAAGTGAAAACACAACAACAACTTCCTAATCCGAGTTCCGATTCATTTCCACAATTCCAAAACGATTTTTGAGTTTTGACTCTTTACCTCTGAATTCTGGCGTTGACGGCCGTGAGGCGACGATCCTCCGACGCGATTCTGATCATCCTCCTCACCGGAAACCACCTGCGAACATTTCCAGATCCAGAATCTTCAATCAGAAACACAATTTCAAAAATCTCAAAAAAAGAAAAGCAAAAACAGATTGATATATACAAACATTGGCCCAGGTAGATCTAGATCTCGAGTTCCCTTCATCATCATTATTACCACCACCGTCGCGACGTTCGTTTCCTCCGATAGCTACATCGAGAATACCTTTGATCAATCCTTCCATTGTCTCTCTCTCTAGCAATGAAGAAGACAAGAGATATTTTTGTGAGGAAAAAAGAGTGTTTGTGTTGTGAGTTTGTGTGATCAAGATTTGGTTAGTTGAATAACGACGTCGTCTATTTATTTCCTTAAATGTTTTTTACCAATCGCGTCTCTTCATTATTTCTCGATTTCTATTGAGATTTTCTTTCACGCGCCGAGAAAGCGCGTGAAAAATCTGACTAGTATTTATTGTAACATTTATAACGGTCGTTCGCTCATGCCGACAAATTTTTTTTTGGTAAGAAGTAGAAATGGTAAATTAATGATATCACCGCAAAATACAACTTCTGGCAGAACTAAAATCTTTTTTTGTTTTCGTATGTGACGAAACCGAAACATCCATTAATAAAAAAAAAAATTAAAAAAACTAAATGATGTTTGGATCAAATAATGATGATTCAAAAACTACCAAATTTCGCATTTTCTATCGGAATGTCACAATGAGAGTTGTGACCGAAAGCATATACTACCAGCTAAGGTTTTTGCCGACCCACGCGCATTGTTTTATAGAGCAAGAGAGAATTTGAACGGTGTCATTGACGCGCCAAAGTAGCGCGTGAATCTCGAATGGTGTGGTAGATACGCTGCAATGCAATGCGCTGCACGTTCCCGCGACAATGTAAAGCTTCCAAAACGTTATCAACAATTATTCAAAGTGTAACAAAACAAAAACCAAACTCATCCTAAATGTCTAATTTATTTGATTCAAACACACACCTTTCATTTGTGATTTTGTTACCGCAACATTTTTGCAAATAAAATGATGTTTAACTTTTTCTTACAGAGGTTTATTTGCAAAAAAAATCTTTCATTCCACAAGCAAACAAGCTCAATATTTGAGTTATTTTCCTTCACGAAATTGTACAGATACATCCTTCCAAGAAAGCGTGTAAATCTCAAGTCTTTTATCCACAAATGTACAAATATCAACGTTAAAAGCTCTCTTTGACCCAAAAAACACAAAACTCTCTTTTGTTTGCAAGTCTACTTCAATAACAGTAGTTTCCCAAAAGCGAAAAAAAAACTGTAAAAAGATTCATTCAATTCGCAAATTCTTTGTCGATTCAGATTCTATGGACCTGTAATCATCTCGAACTCTGATGGCTCTCCAATCAGACTCTTCTTTGGTTTGTCTTAGAGCCATGAAGTGAAGTGCATCACTTCGAACCTGGTAAATGTGACAAGCCCACGGATACGAGTCAGGCGAGGACCAAATCTTCTGTTCCTCAAACTCTGTCTGCTCAGCCAGAGATGTTGGCATGCAATAGACTGCGTTGGGCTCTGGCTCGACAAAACCAGCCACCGCAACACATCCAGGAGAGACGAATCCTTCTGGAGCCCGTGGATGCCAGATTGATACGGGATTTATGTAATCATCTAAGCAATTCCTCCACACCTGAGAAGTGAATCAAGACAATATGTATCATCAGTTTCAGTTCGGTTAGCGTTTTATCACAATTTGGATGATTTGCACTTGATAATACAGCTTCAGGGTCGAAAAAGTTGGGCGGCTAAATGCAACAGATTGAGGAGAAAATTAATTGAAGAGAGAGATACTTACGAGATCATAACCCACTGGAAGTGCAAACACTTGATCGGTGCTATTGTAAACAGCCGCAACATTTGGAGGATGGCTACCAACATGAGCTACATCACCCACTGACACAAATCTGGCATGAAACAATGACGAAAATCATCGTTATGTACTAAATAACCAAGTTAAGAAATAATAAGAGTTTTTTTGGAATTTGGATCCTATTTTGTGGTTTACTTACCCCTCTGGACAACTGGGTCTCCAGATAGTGCACACTCCTCCATCTTCAGAAACCTGAAAGCAAAAAGGAAATAATTGTAAGCAAACCATAAACGATTGATTTAGTGGTCAATTATCAACGGTTTATCTCATAAAGTAACATGTCAAGGATTCTTATTGATATCTAATTTGAGCATTATATTTCGACCGATGGTCCTGATATGCCTCTATTATCAATAAATCGACCATATCAAATCTCTGAGCAACTGGAAATGCTTCTCTGCATAGATCTTGTGTATTAGTTGGGACAACGCATATGAATAGGAAATTTATGACTAAGCACATGAATGCGGATTCTTTCTTCATTGATGTGTTTGGATATAGCAAGCAAAACCCTCTTTAAGCTCAAAAATAGAGAGAGCAATGGAAAGGGAATTACCTGCTTTTTGCATAAAGTACATCGACCTTTCACTTCACGCTCACTACTCCAGATTTTCACGAAGTTGATGCTATGTTTAACAAACTTTCTTTCATCTGAGACAGAACTTGAAGAAGAAGAAAGTTCCCTTGATTTAATAATAGCCTTGTTGTTGTTGTACGTTTTTGAGTCTCTTCCATCGGCCTCACTCCAAGCAAAATACACATGTCTCTGGCTTGAAGGAACCTGCATCGAGAAGATAGATATTTTATTAGATGCGTTGCATTGGCACAACTTGTTTACTTACATATGTTTACACCGGTTAGTCAGCTATGCGTTTTATGGTCATAACTATACTATTATAAAATAAAAGACCAGTCCCATCTGGGGATTAACCATCTCAATTGATTCATCATAACCAAATTAATTGATTAGAATATTAATCTAATTACTATATGAGATTAGGGATAGCAATAAATTACCTTGAGAACAAGATTTTTCATGTTAGACTGATATGCTTTCCACATTTTGCGCACCACTGAACAGATTCGAACAGCTTGGGGTTCAAGTCCATCTGATTCTGCTGGCACGTTGCACTTTATAACCTGAGCAAAACTCTCTGACTTGCGGAAATTCTTCAGATGGAGTATGAGATGCGAGGGCCTTTGGCTACCTGCCTTGGCCAATTCCAACGCCATAAGTTCCTCCCAAGGCACATCCCACATGATCTTGCTGGGTTTCTTATCCATCTTATCCAGATCAGAGCACTAAATTGAAGTAACAAGTCAGCTAAATATAACAAATTTAAGAAACTAATGTAAAGGCTGCATGTGGAATCATATGCTAGTTGGTTAACCTGTAATAAAACAACCCTCTTGCTGGTCACCATGACAATGCGCTTGTATGGAACTAGGAAATGCTCTTCATAGCAATCAGACAAAGCGAATTTTGAGGGTTCTCTGAATATCTCCGTACAACCAAAATGCCGACTTGCTTCAGCTAGGTGAAGGAGCATCTGCAAAAACAGATAATAATAAACGGAAGTCAGAACCCGCTTGGCAATTTGAGCATGAGGGGCAAGCTTGACTAGAATAATGTAAGTTCATAGCTTTCAGGTTGTATTCTCAGTATAATTTACACCATATCCCAGAAGGAGCATTAGAATGCAAAACTTTCAGATTCAACTATTGAATACTGGAATTGACAACTTGGAATTATGATGTTTTGGATTTGGTCGTGGAGTTTTGCATCCTAAATTTCTCAATTAGCAGTCTCGCTAGTAGACAAGAAATATAAATTGAAGTGGTACCTGGCCTATAGCTTCCTTCTCGTCATATTCCCTGAGTATACCATCAGCATGAACAGCACGAGGATTTCTAATTCTCTCCAAGGTGGTCCTGTTGCTCAAAACCTCCAAACATCTGGTACAACTTGCTCCAATTCCATCAACAGTCAATGAGAAAAAATCTAATGCACCACTCACTGGTTGTACAATAAATCCTAGGAAAGCCCGTCCTACCCCATGGGCAAACCCTAAAATACCATTTTCTCTGGCACTCTCCACAGGCTTTGTAACAACTCCTGATACCCCAAAGGCAACACCTTGTGCTAGGGCTTCTGTACCTTGAATAAATGCATCACCTACACCAGTGATCCGCCTCGACCAAACCTGATACATTTTGAGACCTCTTTTAAGCAAACTGCCAAAGATATATAATTTGATAGCGAGATGGATGTACCTGTTTTGCTCGCAGTTGCAGGAATTGACCATCAGTTGAGAGCTCGGCAAACCCTCTACTAAGAGAAGCCAATGTTGAGCTTGTCATACCCAAAACATCTACTGAGAAAATCAAATGTAAGGGATTGTGGATCAGATCTCTCCAAATGCGATTCCCGATGGCTGGAACTATTGAACTTTTCCGTATGAACCGATCTCTGTGCATAACTCTCCTTAGATGAACCTAAATGTAGATATGATGTTGAAACATTAGTAACATTAGTAACATTCTTGCTCCCTATTTTTCAGCAATAAATTTCAAGTATATCAATGTTATAAATTAGCTTGTGGTGTCAGGCAATAGAAAGGTTCTATACACAAGTTGTTCCCTGACAATCCAAGGAAAAATACTTCTCTTTTTGTTGTGGTAAAATCTTCTGATCTACTTATCCCGTGTTGGAAATCAAGAAAGAACATGGCCTAAACCAGCTCACGCTCAAGAATTCATAATTTACAACTATTTCTCAGTCCTCAAAATATCTAGCTAACTAATCTCCCATGAAATGAAACCAGGTATCCAACAGTTCTACACTTCTATTACTAGACTGTGCAGGAGGTACACCAAGAGAAAGAATGTAGTTCACTTTTCCATTTCATATATGGGAGTAACTTGAAAGAAAAATCAATCACACCTGAATTTTAAATGCATTTCCAACAGCAGACAAAATGGGGCTCCAAACACCAAGAATTCCATGAGGTCTCTGACCTGGCGCTGTTTCCAGTGAGACCTTCAGCCTTACCTCTGAAACATCTATAAGGCTGAAAATCACAAACAAAATCATACCTCAAATTCAGTTTGGAATTTGCTCGACTTGCATGCCAAAACGGAAAAATAATATAGACTTAAACCCCGAAATGGTAAAATGTTATAGAGGACAATAATACTTTATATGTATCTCAGGATCAACTTGCGCGACACTAGAACTTTGGGGAAGACGGTCCAACTGAAGCTTATTGTAGAAATCAGCCGATGCCCAAATGATTGGCTCATGAATGTTTAGTCGCCATGTATTA